CGCCAGAGGCCAGGCGGGCCAGAGGCAGCCGCGCCGCCGCCCCGAGCTCCCCGCAAGTATGCTTCCTTTTCTTTCTTTTTGTTTTTTTTCCTTTTTGATTCATTGTTGGCACTCACAATTTATTGTTTGTTGTATTGTGTAGATGGAGGTGAACAACAACGACATGGACTCGTTGTCCGATTCATCGGGTTGGTCATCATCCGACGATTCGGACATCGATGAGTTGTTGCAAGACGACGACGTCGAGATGATGAGCCTCCTCATCGACGTGCAATCCTTTGAAAACCGCGTGAAGCTGATGGATCAGAGGAGAGGGTCGAAGATGGGGCGATTCACCATCTACCGGAACCGCGCTCTCGGACACGAGCATTTGATGGAAGACTACTTCGCGGAGGTACCTACATACCCTCCTCGTCTCTTCCGCAGAAGGTACCGAATGCGGCGTAGTTTGTTTGTGAAGATTGTCACCGATTGTGAGGCCGCCTCCTATTACTTTAAACGTCGTAGATCCGCCGCCAGTATCATGGGGTTTAGTGCATATCAAAAGATATCGGCGGCAATGCGGGTACTCGCTTATGGCATACCCGCGGGTTAAACCTCCCTTGTTTCTATGACAATGTTGGTACCCGTGTGCAACGGGAAAGAAACCCTTCTCGCATACACGCTTTTCTTCAAGCACATCGTCAGATTGAGGATGCAACCACTCATGGTCGGCTCCGGGATGATCTAATAGAGCACCACTGGCAGTTGGATGGGCGGCGCATTGACCCATGATGTATCTTTGTTTTACTTTTCTATGTCCTATTTGATTCGAACAATTAGTGTAATTTGCTCAAACATTGTTGTAATAATTTGAATGATTATTGCTTTACTCGGTGTTGTAATAATAACTAGAATGATTATTGTTTTATGTCAAATGTGATGGAATTTGTGATATATCATATGATGAAATGTGATAAAATATGTGATATATGAAATGACAGTTTTAAAGGTTGTGGTTGAGGCAAAGACTAGAACCCTCAAATCCAACCCTTAAAGCAGTTTAAGGGTTGGTTTGAGGGTTCTAGTCTTTGCCCCTGTTTTTCAACCCTTAAAAGTGTCAAAAAGTGGCACTTCTCAACCCTTAAAACTGCTATAAGGGTTTGAGGGTTTAGAGGTTTTACTAGTAATGCTCTCAGAGAGGCCAGCATGGGTTCAGAAAAGACCACGTCGAGATACCTACGTTACTGGCCAAATACCAAATCTGAAATCTGTCATATTCGGCTAATGTTATACTCTTACCATGTGTTTACGTTTAACCTTCTCCTGCTATTTGTACACAATAGATGCATGTCGGTTGCCAGAAATTGAAATTTGGGCCGGTTGATTTCGAATGAACGAAGCAACAACCGTCGGAGGAAAGGAAGGAGCAGCCGCCGGCTCACCGGAGAAGCAATAGCTTCTGGGTGTATGTTAGCTATAGGGTGGCAGACGACCTCGGTATCTATCTTAGGGTGGCAGGTGACCCCAGTATCTAGGGGTGTTCGGCGGAAAAATTTAGAGATTCACCGGGGTTTGAGGGATGGTTGGGGGTGGCACCAGCATCGCGGTGGAGAGTGGTTGAGGGGAGGGCGGGTCGGCGAGGCTGGCACGGGAGCATTGTCGGCCGCAAGGGCGGTAGTAGGCGGTGGGAGGAAGAAGATGGCAGACAAATGTGATCTTTTGTTCAGGAAAAAGAAAGTTAAAGGAAGAAGACACAATCTGACCATTAGATCAGAAATCAATGGCAGATATCCCAGGTGACCGGCACCTACCCAGTCCCTTATTTGTCTGCATTTTGGCAGAGTTGCATACAGAAGCAATTTCGGATATGTTTGGCAAATGTTCCATCAGCCCTACAGATACCGCAGTCCAATGTCCAAATGAGAACAAACAGGTTGTTTTTCTCCTAGAAGGGTCCTCCCTGGCCCCAATAACATATCATTGTCAATACACGAATGCCATACATACATGCATGATACTAGTATTTGGGACGGCGAGCTAGTCCCATCCTGGCAAAACGCAATAGCAAACACTCTTTGGCGAGACACCACACGATATTTGGCATACCAAACCAGCACGAGGGCTTATTATTCGGGACGTCGACGTCGAGCCCTCCCAAGTGGGGGGAGCGCCCATGCCCGTCGTCCCCGATTCCCCGCGGTCCAGCCTTCCGGGGGGAAAGAGGCCGCGTAGACGGTGAGCTCGGCTCGTCGCCACGCACCGGCCGGTGTCCGGAGCGCATGCCGCACCCGGATTTCGGCCACATGCGGCCGGTACGCGTCGCCGTCCAGAGTTTTACCCCGGTTGGCATACTGGCATCTCGATCCCCGGAACAGCTGAAGCCGGCCTTCCCGTCCCAGTTACCAGTTACCACCACGGCGCTCTTGTGTGGCACAGTAGTGCTGTAGTCTATTCGCATCTACGCGACAGGGCCGGTGGTGTTTATCCAGTCGAGCCGCGTCCCTGTCGATTGTCCAGCGGCCGGCGTATCCTTGTAGACGTGCACTTGACACGGAGGCCGGTTTGTATTGTATGGTCTCGCTCGTTTTGTCTTTGCCGGAAGAACGGTCTCACGCTCTCTCGAAGATTACTTTGTTCTTTCACTTTCACGAGTGCTCCTGGTAGGTGTTCTTTGTTTACATGTGATGAGAAGTCATGGCTCTAGTCTCCCGTGTATGTTAACGGCTGCCCCAACAGGAGAGGATTTGTGGCACACAAGTGCATGTCCCTAGTGTCCTTTTTCTTTGGCTCTCATAGTTTCAAATCATTTAAACCAAAATTACAAATTAAGTTATGTTCTCATATTTCTGTCTCTCGTGATTGGCGTTTTTAAATAAGATCTGCTTTGAATATATTTTGATAATTTTTTAAAAAAGTTTAAATGTTGAAACTTAGTACGAGTAACAGACAAAAATCAACTATTTTGTGTCTACGACCGACGGAATAAATTGCTTGAAATTATATCTATGAAACTAGTTGCAACTTGGCAGTTTTTAATGCAACAAACCGTAAGTTTAATCGTTGAAACTTAAAACTTTTTAAGAAATTTTATTTTTTACTGTGTCCTCGTGCGAAATTGAACTACTGCGCGAATCGTGAGGACAAACGAGTGGGAGGCAGGACTTGGTAGGTGAGTTCCTATGCGCATTTTCGCTGCCCCAACAATTAACCGTTCTAAGCCAGAAGCAGATGCACGCTTCGCTTATCAGATCAATTTAGCATTATGCTTTTATTTTGTTGTTGAAAAATTAGCTGATAAATCATTTATCCAGAAAAATACTCCCTCTTGAGTGTCGCTGAGTAGCGCGTAACTAAGGTTTTTTTTCAGTCGAGTAGCGAGTAACTAATTAATCAGACAATTAACTGGTCAGCACCTCTTAATCCCCTACCACATCCGTCTGGGTTTATTGATCCTCTTTGTATTTTGTGCTCAATTTTGACCATAAATTTGACCAAAAAAATATAAGTTGTATGTCACACAACTTAGATTATTGGATTCATAAGAGGTTTCCATTGATGCTATTTTGGTGGTATATAAGTTCTTTTTTGATAGTTAAATCAAACGTCAAAGTTTGACCCAAAATACAAGGGGGACTAATAAACCCGGATGGAGGTAGTACAGCGGGTAGGGGACTGAGCAGTTACCGATTATCGATTTTGTAAACATTGTTTTATGCAGCTATTAACATGTTCTGTGGATGGTCGCAAAACCTTGCGCGCCTGAACAACAGATTCTGTTTACAACATTGAGCGCGCCTGCGACCCACGCGCCATGGATCCCTAAGGAAATCGATGCAGTGTAGAGTGCCCAAAAGATCACATGGCGGGGAGGGCGCCAGGTAGGCACCATCGCGAGGCGCGCGTGCAGGGCACTCGCGAGCGAGGAAGCACCCAGGAGTCGGGTGTTGCAACATACTGTATAGGAGTAATTCCTCGGGGGTGCCTTGGGCATCCCCAATTTTGAGACGTTTGCCTCTTCTTATTCTTTTTATCCCACTCTTTCACCTAAGTCTTAAATTCTTCATCCACATAAAACTTCTACATAATTGTTGGGATATATTAGTATAGCTAATATTTAAACAAACACATAACTTGTTTTAACATAAAATGAAAAATTATAATCCACCCTTAGTTAATGTATACTAAACAATTGTAGCACTCTCACATTCAGTCATTAATTAAAATGATAAAATACGGGATGGCCGTTTTGGCTCTGGGACGCATATGCTCCCAAATGATGAGTAAATTCAAAATAAGTAGTAAATAATTTTTTTAAAATGATATTTTTGTAGATGTTCTTGTAGTGTAACAAGCGTCCTTGATACTTCTCATGCCAAACAGGATAGCAATGCTTCCTTGGTAAAAAAAATAAAATAATTGTAACATTTAGCGTCTGACTTTTTTTTCATATATAACAATATAAATATAAAAAGATCCAAATGCGCAGATCAACTTAATCTTGGTCATCAAACCATGTCAATGCAACTAACTAGATTGCTCTAAAACTTTAAAACTGCCATTCTTGGGATGAAAATGCTATGAACAAGAGAGTGCCATGTGAACACAAAAAGAAAGAAAGAAAATGCCATGATAAAAATAGTGTCATCTCTTAATAAACAAAAAATGACATAAAAAATAAAATTCCGTATCCTAAAAATAAAAGCCATCTCTTAAATGAAAAATGACATCTCTTAATAATAAAAAACGCTATCTTTTAATCTAAAAATATCATCTCTTAATATAAAAATGCCATTTCTTAATGATAAAAAATGCCATCTCTTAATAATAATAAAATGCCATCTCTTAATCTCTTAAGTAAATAAAAATGCCATCTCTTATAATAAAATATAAAAAATGCCATGTGACATAGTTCAAACATTTATAAACTGCCATGTTGATTTTTTACTAGAGAAAATGCCATCTGGTGAAAGAAAATGGAAGAACTGGGATTCCAACCCAGGTGGCCCAGGAGAAGGAGTGCACTCCTAGCCAATGGGCTGGCTCTAGTACTTTATAACTAAATGTTGCCCCACGCGTTGCCGTGGGAAATGTTCCAGAAATAAATGCATAAATAGTTGCTACAAAAACATCTAAAACTAATGGAAGGAAAATGTAATATAAAAAATACAAAGCGTCTAAGAACTTGAGTTTCAATTAAAAAATATCATTTCTGACAAAAATGAGAAGGGACAACTTTATAGGTATGCTACAATCGCCCAACATAAATATGCTACATATATTGTTAATACAAAATCTAGTACAAAAAATAAACTTTGAATAATTAACATGCATGAATTTATGATGTGGCAGCATTGCATGCATATAGTGTAATGCAAATAAATGTAATTTATGACATGCATGCATGACTTGCTTATGTGGCATAGTTGCATGGCTTAAAAAAATAAATAGTGGGCTGTAATTATTTAGGAATAGAAGATACAGTTCGCTGGAGTTTCTCTTAGACTACCCACAATAAAAATAACATAGATGGAAACATCACACATATTTAGAAAAAATAGATGATATGGCAAATAATTAATGAAGAAAGAGAGGCATGTAGTAACATAGCTAGTTACTAATACTATGAGTAACATCACACATACCAAGGCAAGATGAGTTTATAACCTAATAAATGATACCACACATATGTTACTTCTCATTGTAGAAGTAGTAACATAGACTAGTAACATGCATATGTTACTAGTTTTTTTTTTTTTTGAGACAATATGTTACTAGTTTAAGTTACTGTGGCTAGTCTTATAGCGCACGGGTTTGGGGATCCGACGTGGCCAGTGGCGGAGCTGGGGCCTGATTCTTGGACGAGCAATGGGCTTGGGGGCAGCTAAAAATGTGAGTTCTGGGCCAGTTTTATCAGAAGATTTTGCGTGGGCTGGGGAGGAGTGGCCCAGCTGAAGCTCCGCCACTGGACGTGGCACGTATCCTGCGTCAAGATTCGTGCAGACGAATCCGACTGAAGATGGTGGATCGCTGCGAAATCTCTCCTGGGTGACGATCGTCAGTTAATAGTACTTCCCCAAAATCTCACCGAACGGAACCCGTTCCCTCACCTCGACCTAAACCGTCATCGGCCCGGCACGCTCCGACACGCGCCCAGCCGCCACGCCCTGCCCTCTCTGCTCCTCGACGCAGCCGCCACACTCCCCTGCCCTCTCGTCGTCTGTCCCTCGAGAATCTGCGGCTGGCACCACCGGGCAAGCGGTAGTAGGCTAGTGGGGAAGCGGGGGCGGCGGATCCGGGAAGAGCGGCGGCGGCGGATCGGGAAGAGAAGTATCAGCCATCAGCAAGACCTCCTCCCTCCAAGGTATATATGCGCATGCCCATTACCCAATAAACTGCCAGAATTTTTGACGAGTCTGTGATATTCAATCATATTTGTTGGCTGGATATGTTGCTATAAGCCCCTGTGCGAATCGATGTTGAAGATTTTTGTGGCATGTGTGTCAGTGTGTGGTATTCAAGTCATATTTTTGCAATCCATGTTGGCATATGCTTTGCTGCTGTCTGAAATTGTGTCGATGGATTTTGTTGCATGTGTATGACATTCAAATCATGAACACAACAGTGATAGCTAGTCTTCATGAATACAACAGTGATATATTCAAATCATGAATGAATACAACAATTTGTCTTGTTCAAATTTGTATGCAACAGTGGTAGCTAGTTTTTTTAATTATAAACCATCACCCAGAAGGAAGGCCAAGGCTGCAAGCGCCGGCGTGATGAACAAGCGACCCCGCGAGGACGAGCCTTCCTCCTCCCTTGCGTCCGCCCAAAAGCGCCAGTTCGGTGCAGGTATCTATTCCCCGCCTTCGTCACTAGACCCCATCTAGTTGCTGCTAACTCCCAATACCGTGCGAAGGGTAGCTAACTAAGGTTTGGTCTTTGTGTAGGTGGCGGCTATGGGGAGCAAGGGTACTCGGAGGAGCGGATCAGTGCGCAGCGGGTGGCGGACCACTACAGTGCCCGGTCGAATCAGACGCTCGAGGAGCGTGAGAACAGCCCCATCATCCACCTCAAGAAGCTCAACAACTGGGTAACTACTTTGCTGTGCTACGCATCCATTCATCCCCTAAAACCCTTGAGAAAATGTCACCTGTACGATGTTGGGTGAAACCAGTAAGAAGCCACGCTAATCTTCCAATCTCACCTTTGGCAGATAAAGAGCGTCCTGGTTCAACTGTATGCACGTCCAGGAGACTGCGTTCTAGATCTTGCTTGTGGCAAGGTAAGCAGTGCTTTGCGAGTGTTAATTAAGATAAGAAGAGTTTTTTGTAGTTCCGAGGTAGTCCTGACATATATTGATTCTTCACGAGTGTTAATGCAGGGAGGTGATTTGATAAAGTGGGATAAGGCCAAGGTTGGCTATTATGTAGGGGTTGATATTGCAGAAGGCTCGGTTAGTTTTCCATCACATGATAAATCTATATTATATGCATATACAAATATATATAACTTAATGCAATTTGTTCTTCGTGAGTTAGGTTTTTCCATCTCTGTAATGCTTTGGCATTTATGCCTATCAGTTGCTTTTCTGTATAGGGTAGATTTGTACATTGCAACCGTTTCGCAGATATTATTTTGTAACCTGTACTGTAATCGTTTTAGCATTTAAACTTATCTCAAGGTAGTGGTAAGCTATATATTCAATCTTTATTTCACTTGTTTTTATCAGTATCCTTGGTAAAACCTTCAGACTTATCAGCGGTCCTAGACCATAGAACTTGTGTATTCGCTTTTGATTTCCTCACTACCTCTTGTAGCTCTCAACTACGCAGCAAAGGTCACTTTAAGTTATAATCTCCTTTGATGTGTTGGAGCTTTACACTTGCAGATAAAAGATTGCATGACCCGTTATAATGGTGACTCGGATCAACAACGAAGGAAGAAGTTCAGTTTTCCTGCACGGCTTATTTGTGCTGACTGTTACGAGGTAAAAGTATTAATAAATAATAGTACAATTTACCATAAGAACCAAACCTAAAGTGGTGGTGTGCTCTGTGTGTGCAAGCAGACATAGTGCCACAGCTTGTTTCAAGCATTGAACATCTTTCTGTAGTTGAAACCAAATTATACGCAAGAAATGGATCTTTCAATAAAACTCATGCCAACGTATACACACATTTGTCATTAGCTAGTAGGTGATTCTTCTTATACTTTCACATCACCAGGAAGAATATACTTTACCTTACCCCATATGTCTATCAGTCTATTATTTGTGGTGCTCATCAAGAATTATAAAGTGCATCAAATGCTTCCGCTTTCATGTTTTTGCAGACTCGTCTGGATGAGTATCTATGTGAGGATGCTCCATTTGACATATGCAGCTGCCAGGTGAGTGACCTAGCTTTATATTTTGCTCAATTTTCATAGTTTGTTGTTATTATTTGGTCAGTTCAATCATCTATTATTTCCCACTTGTCAAAGCAACTTTGAATTTTAGAAACCTTTTGTGAATATATATCTACTGTTAAATATCACAATCATTATTGACAACTATCATTCAAACAAATTTTTCCTGAAAGATGTTGAAACTTAAGTATCATTGCTATGTCCAGCAAATAAAATTAAGTACAATGATCTTTAATCTACTCTTAATATGTAATGCACCGTCAGGAGATTTAGAATGTCTGGATGATAAATGTGTATGATTATGAGGTTTATACTTCCTATTCTGATGTTTTTTTCTATGTATTTCAGTTTGCAATGCACTACTCATGGTCAACTGAAGCACGTGCAAGACAAGCCCTCGCAAATATATCTGCATTGCTTCGTCCTGGAGGCACATTCATTGGAACGATGCCTGATGCTAATGTCATTATTAAAAGGCTAAGAGAATGTATGTCACTATCTTGAACTGTAATTTGCTTGATCTCGTCAAAGACTGTACTTGTCACAAGATGTGTGATACAAATTTATATCCTCAGCTGAAGGGATGGAGTTCGGGAACAGTGTTTACTGTATTACCTTTGGTGAAGAGTACACAGAAAAGGTAATTGTGTTTGTTTATAATTACTTCTTATATGTTACTCCCTCCATCCCATAATGCAAGACGTGTTTTGGCCCTACACTAGTGCCAAAAAACGTCTTACATTATGGGACGGAGGGAGTAGTTTTCATTACTGACTGATCATTTTGTTGTTCTCACAATGGTGTAGAAATTCCCGGCATCCAGGCCTTTTGGTATCAAGTACAAGTTTCATTTAGAGGTGACAACACGATTAACTTTCTAATAACTTGAGCCTTGTATCGGTGGCCTCTTTTAGTTTTTCAAGATGAATACTGATGTTCATATTCGAGTGTTTACCCAAATTGTATAACAGAGTAAAAAATGGATTTGTTTGGGTATTTTTTTGATTAAGTTGCCCTCTTGTGAATTTGTATGCACACTACCCTTTCTAATGCGTATCTAAATATCTATTATGTGCCCTTATTCAACTTCAGTTGCTGCAGCTCTGAAAGTAACTCTAGTGATTTACATAGTACTATCTGTTTATCACAAACTCTGCACTCCTGTAGGCTACATGTTGTTTGCTGCAGTCTTCAGTTCTTCCATATTCTAGGCATTCTTTGTGAATAGTATGTAGCTGACGTCCTTCATATTGCCCTTATCTTACATATACATGTATTTTTATTTATTTTTGACAATTTACATATACATGTCTTGTTACAACTTGTTTGGGTGTTTATTGCCCTATGCTGTACCTAGCTTCCTGCTTTTCACTCGTTATCTTTATTTAATTTTTTCATTCATAAATTTACAGAAACTTATTCAGTAACAAATTCTTTGGCAACATGCAGGACGCAGTTGATTGCCCAGAGTGGGTTGTTCCATTCCATCTCTTCAAACTACTGGCAGAGGAGGTACACAAATCTATTGCTCAGTATGCTATGGCGACGTGTGCCTCTGTTTCCTTATTTCGAACTAGTTCATTTCAATATTTTCTCGAAAATTTTGCTGCCCTATCTTTTGTTATCATTTATTTTCTTTTACAAATTTGCTCTCAGACAGATGCTAAGGCTATGACCAAAAAATCGTGCATCTTTTGCAGTTTGATTTAGAGCTGGTTCTAATGAAGAACTTCCATGAATTTGTACACGAGTATGTGCAAAGGCCAGAGTTTGCTGATCTCATGCGAAGGCTGGGGCCTCTCGGTGATGGACGATCGGGCCAAAGTAACTAGACTACCTACTGAATTCGCTGCTGTCTATAAATATCATTTCATTACCTTGACGTAATTGAGTTATGTAGGCACGCTGTCACAAGATGAGTGGGAGGCATCCTATCTCTACCTCGCATTTGTTTTGCGGAAGGTATTTCTCGTGCTGTTAACAACTGAACCACATGCGGTCGTCCTATGTTTGCTGACATGCTCTGTTTATGCAGCGAGGCCCTCCACCGTCCCAGCGGAGAGCTAACAATCCTAACAGAGGGAAGACGTTCCTTGCCGAGGAGGACATCGAGTTTCTTAGCATATGAAGCAGGCTTTGCCGTCCTGGGGCTTACTAACAACTTACCGATTATATGCTTCACATTGTGGTGATGAAAGTTGTATCTTTAGTGGCTCACCTGTGGTCTCCCCAAGGCGTATCGGATATATATAACTTCATAAGTTTAATGTATGAACGGCACGAACTAGTTACTCATGTAATTTTGCAGAGATGAATACATATTTAGGTGTCATATATAGTTGATGCGATAGCTCTCAAGTTCTATGTGGAACATCGAAATATTTGTTCAGACATTTTTCTTGTAAAGTAGTACTTGCACTATGCACACCTCCAATCCCTGAGAAGGTTGGGCTTGAGTGTCTTATTCCACCGCCTCTCTCTTCAATTGAACATCAAACACTTTGACACTTCAGTTGTACAGGAGCTTGTTAATCAACTACAGTATTAATCCCCCTAAAAAAACTACAGTATTAATCAAGGGCTACGATTCTGATCCGTGGCTCGGGAATGTTTGTTCTAATCTGAGCGTACATCTCTCTCTAATTGATTCATATGCTTAGCAACGGCGTCTACTAATTGATTCTATGGTCAAGTTTTTCCACGTTTGATGCTTATACTAATCTAGTCTGGCAAAACTTCCCCGTGTTTGTTCATATGCTTGTGAGGGCTGAATTTTTTGTTTCAAGATTTCTTCTTGATTTTTAGAGTTTAATTTGGTGTGATCCGAGGTTGCACGGAGGAGGCAATCGCCTCAAGTTCCCACCATGAGCAGTGGCCACCGTAGTCGCGACGGGTTGCCGGATTGAGGATCTATGGGTAATTCTAATGGTCACATGCGACACACCGCAGACCATCTTCGCGTGCCGCGGCCAGGTCTTTACTGCCTCGGCCGAAGGCGTCCAGCCCATTGCCGTTAGGTAAACAAGGCCCCCACTGTTTCCTCCCCTGCATGCTTCACTGGTGTGTGATATTCGCTCTTCACGCTTGCTCCATTTATTGCGTACAACTATCATAAGCTTTCTGAAAGATGCTATTATGTTTCCGCAAAAAGGAAAAAAAAAGAAAGATGCTATTATGGGTCAGGTCCCCGCATTGGAGTTCCATGGGAGCGGGGCCTTGGAGCACATCAGAAGTGTCGTGCCAGGGACAGCTATCCCAGCCTCAAGCTAAAGGTCACACCGGAGCCGACTGGCTACGGCAACTAGGAAAATGACCAGATGTTCGCCATTCACAAGATACTCAAATCCTGGTTGTGCCGTGTTTCTTAATGATACTCAAATCCCGGTTGTGTCGTGTTTCTTAACTCCCACTCCTCTAGCCAACATAATAGAAGCATGAAACTAGGGGTGGCGACGACGAGACACTACTAAATCCTGGGGCGCATCCGATTGGGTTTAATTAAGTAACGCCCAGGTGATGCAAGTCATCCCCTTCGCTTTGAATTCTTCTTTCAGATCTAAGGCATACTCGTGTAGCCGACACATACGAAAGAATTCAGGTAAAGGGGCGAACATCACTATGGTCGGACGAAATACCTATGTCAAGTCTGTTCTCACCTCCAAGAGATTCACCGCCTCATCCCTCTGCATATGAAGATAGGTGTTTTGCTTGACATCACTAAGATCGAGAGAGCTTTCCTGTGGGCTGGAACGAACAAGGTAAATGGAGGAAAATGCAAAGTAAAATGGGAAATTATGTGCAGGCCAAAACGTCCTTGGGTGATCTGGGCATCCTCGACTTGGACAAATTCTCCCGTGCCCAGTGGCGGAGACATGGGAGACCAGCAGCCCCCCCCCCCTAACGTCATTCATTTATGCCTAATATGCATGTTAAGAGGTGATGAATTGCTGCTAAAATGATGAATTTTGATGCACCAGCCCTCCCAAACTAGGCTTAACTACACTTGGCCTCCCTCATTCACTTTTCCTGGCTCCGCCACTGCCCGTGCCCTCGGGTTGCGCTAGCCTTGGTGGGGGTGGAAGGACCTAGACCGGACTTGGATCGGGCTAGGTACACCTTGTGATGACAAAGACACGAGCCTGTTCTACAAGGCCACTTTCATCACTACTGGAGACGGGAAGATGACCAAGTTCTGGCCCTCACCGTGGCTAGGTGGGACTAAGCCAAAGGATATTGCACCTTCCATTTTCAGCATCTCTAGGTACATCAATGGCTGCGTCCAAAAAGCTTTGCTAAATGATGATTCAGTTCGTCTCATTAACACTGTCAAGGTCTTGTCAGTGCAACACATCCTTGATTTTGTGGCCCTTTGGGTGAAGCTGGCCTCCGTTCAACTACATGATCACACTCCTGATGCTATCACCGGGACGCTCAATATCTCTGGTGTCTACGCCGCCGCCTCGGCATACAGAGCGCAGTTCAACCAGCGGAGCTACATGTAAGGCTGAGGGGGCCGTGGCCCCCCAGTCCAAATGAAATTTTATTTTTACCAGCTAGTAGTGACCCCCTGCAGCTTTCAGCCAATTCACCTTCACATGGATGCACAAGCCTACTTTGACAACATCACACATGTTGTATTCAGTTGTTCAACTGCTTTGCCTCTGTTCCTATTTCCCAACCACGCTCTGTCACGCCTGCTCCCTGCTCCACTCATGAACCACCGGCCTTGCTGCCTATGGACAACCTCGATGTCGACGTTGAGGAGGATTTTGCCTCTGATCCGAGCACGCCGCGGGCAAACAACCTGCCGAGAAGGGAAACAAGGGTGCGCCTGAGGTCATCCTTTCTGCTCTTCATGACTTCCCGGTTGTCGAGTCAACTGCCCAGCTGACACCCCATCGCAGCCGTCCACCCCGCCCCGTATGAGTTTAGCTACAGAATTTTATTGAAGTGCCCTGTACTTGCAACTTGAACTACTGGATCCTCCTTGTGCAGCAATGTTGCATGTATGGGTTAAATTAGGGACATCAAAATTTTGATTTTTTTGTAGTTTCTCTGTATGAGTTTGATTAGTAATTTAACAACCACGTAGTATGCCTATACGTTAGATCCAGTTGAATTTTTTTTGCTGCTTGGACCCCATATTTGTTCTGTTTAGTAGTTGCTAGGGTTGCTTGAATTGGGGCAAACCTAATTTGTTTTGTCTCCCCCCTCCCATACATTCTTGTCAAGCTCCGCCACTCAAAGCACGACCATCACGTCATTGTTCATCGAGACTGACAAGGCGAGAGTTGCAGTGCCGATCGTCAGCACGTCACTGAGGAAGTAGCAGAGCGCCGAGCGCAACCACTTGGCTTCGTCCATGGTGGATCGATCGATCTACTGTCTGAGTTGTTGCGTGTGAAGTTGTTGTGGAGTGACGATGCAGAGGGAGGAGGGTATTTACTCCTGAGCCCCCCGCATTGTCAAATGTTTTTCTTAAACAACTTCCGACTTTAAATTAAATTAATAGAGCCAACTAAAGTTAAAGTTTAGGGACTCGATCTTCGGCATCCAATCACCCTGCATTGGCCGTGTTTCCCTGCCGCGTCACACACCTACCCCTCAGGCAAAAAGCAAAGCAGATGATCATCTATCCGAGCCCAAGGCAACGCAGGATTTGTCAAGTTCACGTGACGAAGTCTTCGATCAAGTTTTGGATGGCATAACGGCAGAGCTACATGTAAGGCTGAGGGGGCCGTGCCCCCCCACCCCCCCGCCCAAATGAAAATTTATTTTTACTAGCTAGTAGTGACCCCCTACAGCTTTCAGCCAATTCACTTTCACCTGCATGCACAAGCCTACTTTGACAACATCACCCATGTTGTATTCACTTGTTCAACATCAACCATGTATTTTTTGTATTCACTTGTCAAAAACGTTCTTATATTATGGGACAGAGGGAGTAGTTGCTAGGGTT